TAAAAGGCGATTGAATTATTAATCATTTCAAGTCCAGAAAAATATTTTATATGATTTTGGAGTTTATATTGTATTTTTTCATAAATATGTATTTTAGGACGTTTAAATGTTTAAATGTTTTACAACAACATATCATATATAAATTGGTTTCCTTTAGAAATTTGTTATCATTAAATTCCATATATTTTTACTCCTTTAATAAGAGAGTGGTTGTGTTTATTTAGCAACATTTAAAATTATACTCTGGAAAATCTTTTTTTGGATATTAAATTATAAAGAATAGATAACTTTGAGTTGTTAGATAATTAGGACTGAAATAATTAGGTATTATGCTCAAACTAATAAGAGTATTAGAAGAAAGAAAACAGAATAGTAGTTAAATACCCTTACTGTTAGTTAACCGATATCATAGGGGTATATAGGTATATACATGACTATGCTTAAATATTTAATTATCTTATAAATATATAAGCAAAAACACTCTTTGTAAAATTGTATTCATTCAAATACTGATAACATAAATTGATATACAATTTTTGTGTCTTAATGGAAATAACCATATCGAAAGTATGACCTTTTCCATTATTAGCATTAATCCCATTTAACAAGTGATACAATTATTGGAACTTTTCATACTTTAGTTATATTTCAATTGATATTTGCCTTAAAGATCAACCTATAATTAGAAGATGGACATATTGAAACAACTTTCTTAACATCTTTGACACATATTTTTATTAAAATAATAGAGTTTATAAGAGAGAATAAACACATAAAGTATGCAATTTGCATTTTAAAGAAGGAAGAATACATTTGTGAGAAGTGCTCTCTTCACATCATTATTAATAAAAATAAATAGTACTTTTAAAACCATCTCATATATCTACTCATTGATAAATTTTCTCATGGAATGTAAGTGAAAAATAATATACATTGTACCTTTTGAGTCATCTTTTAAATATGATGATACATTAAAATCCTAGAATTTTATGTAAATAAAGGACAGTCCTTTTTCTCACATATGCAGAGAGAAACAGCAAACGAATGCCTAATTACTTCAATTAAATCATCAATACGATAATTTGATAATCTCAGTATGAGTAGAGGTGGTATTAAACAGGATATAACTTTTATCTTTCTTACTTCATTTGATAAAGCCATTATTGAATACATAAATTTCATTAACTTCAAAAATTATAATTTCGGGATATTTAATATTAAAACATATTATTCCAATTAAGTGGTGAAGATAAATTATGAAAAATTCAAAATCTAAAAACAATTACTATGGCCCTGCGACACTGAAGAAACCTTATTTTTGAAGTAGTCCTTTGAAAAATAACATATACTACATTTATTGAACTCTTATCATTATTCTTTGAGATTTATAAGGAATTAAATAAATATGTTTATGTTCATTCTACTAGATGAATAATTTTAAACTTTTTAAATCTTATCTGTAAAAATATAAAATAAGAGATTCTTATTTAAATATTAATTTTCCATTTATCATTCTGATTTTAGAATTAAATTATTTGTTAAATTATTGTTACATTATGAAAACTAGTCAATCAATGCAATCCAGCTCTTAAAATCTTTTAAATCTATTAAAATCAGAAGAGAAAGCATAAAA